CACACCATCTAAAGTGACAAATTTGGGAGGAGAAGCTTTTTGTTCATTCGAATTTTCGTTTGTAATTTATTTGTTTGTTCAAACACTTATATTTATGTTAGACTTTGGTTCTTCCCATTAATATATTGCATATGTTAGTCTTGAGTTAATCCATTCGTTTTCACTATACTATGCATTTACTTCCTTTTGTGATATTTAACTCTCGATTAAAAACTATAAGCCTTTAGAGGGATGATGACGAAAACAATACCATAATCTCATACAATATTCTTTTGAACAGACCTTGCTGATGATGTACAGGCATTGTTTCAAATCCTAAACAGTGGAGTTATAAGGAGGATAATCCCTAGTCAACCCCTTTGAGCCTAAGAAGTAGGAGTTTTCTTTTTTCATACAAATTGAAACCTTTAATCATAACCTGCGGAAGGGTAGCTTCTCAGTTAATTCAAAAGCATATTCAGTCGCAAGCTTTCACTTCATAGTATCAAAAAAGTCCTTCCAAATCAAAAGATGGTGATGGTTCCTCGTAAAGCAGGCATTCATTATCTCTCAAAAGAAAAGCCCGTTAAGTCAAAACCTATGAAGGAGACTTAAGAAAAAACTGGGGCATCACGCTGATTGTAAACACACACAAAAATAGTTCAGGCAAAAGGTAGGAGTAATAAAATAAAAAAAGGTTGTTACGAATCCTCGACAACAGAAAAAATGTCACAAAAAATGACAGCCTTCTCAAAAAACTTCAAGTATCTGAACCATCATTGTGATACGGTGGGAGAACTGACTTGGGATTTTGCATTTGTGTTTGCAAATGTTTCGGTTTAGCAAGAGTCGCCACCGACTTTTTATTTTATCCTAAGGAAAGGTCAAAAAGCACAGGAAAGACCTTTGAGATGTTTTCTTGGGTTCGGGGAGTAGATTATAGAAACGGAAGGTATTAGCACCCTTTCTATCCATGGTTATCCATGGGCTCTTAGTTACTTGTTTAGATCACTTGCTTTGCTTTTAAATTGTTTGAAATGGTGCTCTTCAATTGTTTAAAATGGTGCTTTGTATGTGGTTTTGAAAGATGTTTTGAAAAGAGGCCATCGTTGTGGCAACCTTTGTAATGATTCTTGTTTGAATGTATACAAAGGTGTTTTTGTCTTTTGAAAAGTTTTCAAGGTTTGAAAGTTGGATTTTTGAAATTGTGTTGTGAAGTGTGTTTGAAAATAGCAAGGATGTTTTGCAAGCTTTTGGTCAAGTAACTAAGAGATATCTACCCTATTTTACTCAAAGATCTTTCTTATGTTTTTAACCCTTTTAACAGTGTTGTTTCACCATTGCATTTGGTGAACAACCTTGTGTTAGGATGTTAAACGGGACAAGTGCAGGTCATCATATAGACCATGATAGCAATTGTGTTAAGTATTTTTGGCAATTTTCTTAAGGGACTTGATCATTTGTTTAGGCAACCAAGATAACGTCATCGAGGGACTATGATTTTTTGTTTGTTTTTGTTTTGCCAAAGTACTTAACATGCATACCATGGCCCATTTTAGAAGGCAACAAGTGGATTGTAACCCTAGGGGTGTAAGTGTGCATTGTGTTTGTTTTTCATGCATTTTTGTCTTTGATTAGGTCAAACTATTTGTTGGTTTTGATTTTGCATACAAACCCTAATCGTTCTATCATGCATATTTGAAAGCAATAAAGTGCGTAAAAGTAAATCTACAACTATTACAACATGATTATGGGGAGGGGGGGGGGGGGGGGGGGGGGGGGGGGGGGCGGTACAAATTTGAATAGGGGATTATTTCACAAGAAATTTAAATCCTAAGTTATTACAACCCAATTGAATTTACAATGCATAATATTTGAATGTACAATATTTATATAAACATAATAAGTAAATATTAAATAAAATGTATTTATGCAAAAAAAGGAGTTCTCATGTATGCAAAGTATTTTTTAATGTAAAAAAAAGGTGTAAAGAAATAAAATAAAAAAAATAATTGATTTTATTTAATTAAGGGGTAAACCCTAATTTTTCTTAAGAAAATGATATTATATATTATTTATATACAAAAATATATTAATATGTACAAAAATGAAATATATTGAAGAAAATGTATTTTTTAGTATAAAAAATAAAAAGGGTAATATTTTTATATTTTTACTCTAATTATTTAATAAAATAAAGGTATATATGTATATATATATATATATATATATATATATATATATATATATATATATGTATATATATATATATATATATATATATATATATATATATATATATATATATATATATATATATATATATATATATATATATATATATATATATATATATATATATATATATATATATATATATATATATATATATATATATATATATATATATATATATATATATATATATATATATATATATATATATATATATATATATATATATATATATATATATATATATATATATATATATATATATATATATATATATATATATATATATATATATATATATATATATATATTAAATATGTATAAAATAAAATAAAATATTTACAAAAATAAAATATATTCAAGAAAATATTTTCAGTGTGAATAAAAATAAGAAATGAAAATAAAAGTATTATTTACATTATTTTTAAATTTAAACAAATAATAAAATTGTATTAAAAATGTTTTAACATTAGAAATAATTAAAATAAATACCAAATAAATGTAAAAAATTATGAAAATATTTTTCAAGTAATTTTTATGTTTGGAAATAAAATAATAAAGTTAGAAATGAAATTAAAATTCAAAAATAATAAAAATACAAGAAAATGGGCCAGGGGGTGCAGAAAGTAAGCTGGGAGGTGTTAGAAGCAAGAAGGCTAGGCCCAGCCCAAACTTCATCTTCAACCTCCAGAAATTTGAAAACACGCGCGCGCCTGTACAAACTTGGGATATTCTGTATTTGTGATCTTTTGCCAAAACTTAAAACATGAAACTTGTAGAGCATCAAACTACGATTCTAACCATGTAAAAAACTTAATCTAACTCTCAAAGACCAGAGAGAATTTTTCTGGCCCTAATTTCTAACCTAGTTTTTTCAGAAAGTTCATGGATGAAATTCTCTTAGCACGTTTAATATAAATGAAAACTGAGCATATGTATGGTTTTAGGGTAATGAGTACTACATCTTTCATTCACAAAGCTAAGGCTAAATGTTCTTAAATAGAGAGATAGAAGTTGATGAAAAACCTGTTTCAGTTGGATTCGAGTTGGATAATGCAACAACTTTCAGTGAGGCCTGAGGTTCTTTTGAGCTTGCTTGATGTTCCCTGGACCTTTCCCAATGCTTAGTGTGTTTTGAAATGGCCTGAATCTTTCTACAGAACTCAACCTGCAAAGCTTCAAAACAAAAATGGTGAACACTGTAAATGGAGTTACAGTTGGCAATGGAGGTTTGGGATAGCTTGAGTGAGTTGAATTGAAGGTATTAGAACTGATTGCAAACAGAACGCACGAGTGGAATGTGATTTGGCTTGTGATTTGCAGGTCCTACCCTGTTTTCGCAGAAAATGGTGTTTTTGGTGTACAAGGGTGTTTGATAGGTTGCTAGGTCGTGTTTATGGCTTAGTGTAATGTGAGAAACTTGTTTGAAATCTTGGCTTGAGTTGAAAATATCAGATGTGCAAGTTATGGACTTTTGGCAAAATGACTTGGTTTTGAAGCAAAAAGTGAGAGTTGACAATGCAAGGGTTGTACTGGCTTGTAACCTAGCTGCACAAAGTGGTTGAGCTTTGCCTGACATTAGGGAGCCTTGTTTTCAACAAAGGGCTTGGTGTATGGCTCAATAAATGAAACTTGACATAAATCATGCTTTATGTAAATGGAAGTGTTATCTTTATGCCCAAAATGGAATTATTCATTGTATAATGCTCCCTTGATCAGAACAATGCCTCTAACCAATATATTTGCATTCAATTTTTGAGTGTAAATTGGTTTAGAGACTTGTAATCAAGTACAAAGCTAGTTTGGTCAGATTTTGCAACTTGTATGAACATGTATTGGCCATGGTTACAAAGTGAGTTTTTGCCAACTTCAAGCATTTGATTCTCCCTAACCACAAATGTGTTTGAGGAGTTCTTGGACAATTTGGAAAGCTTGCAACAAGTAATATAATCCATCTTTGAAATGCAACTTGATAATCCAAGTGGAACTATGTGAAAAATGGCCAAGAAGATGGGTCAAAATCCTGCCTAAACTAGGGCAAAATTTCTCTAAGTTAAAAGTTTTAGGGACCCTTGTTCCAAAAATCATAACTTGATATCCAAGCTTCTTTTGAGAAAACTTTGTGAATCAAAGTTGTAGAATTTGTGATGGACTACAACTTTCATGTTGTAAGTTTTGTTTGAATCCATTTTTATCATGGTGAAAATGTAGGGCAAAGTTAGGAAAAATTAAGAAAATTTCATAACTTAGAAAATTTCTAAGTTATGAAAATTTTCAATTTCAAACCCTAATTTGCAATTTTGGATTTCTTGATGAACAAGTTTCATAATTTGACACATCTTGATGAAAAATGACCCTTGGCACTTGATTTTGACCAAAAAGTCAAAGTTTGACTTTTCAGTGTACAGTCAAATTTTGATCAGTTGACTGAAAAATTCATCTGTCAATCCAATGCAATTGAGATCTTTTGAACTTGTTGAATAAGTCAAGATGATGCCATTTAGTCCTTGATTCCATGGTTGAGCTTAATTTTCCATTGGCTAGGTCAAACAGTCAAAAATTGCCTTTGTACAGTCAAAACCCTAAA